CCCCCCCCGACACACACACACACAAGTAACTGAGAAATGGGTATGTTCAATTGCTTGACTGTAGTAATAATTTTACTATGTACATCAAAGCATTATGTTGTACAGGTTAAATATATGCCCACTTTATTAAGAAAACCCCCAAAAGTTACAATCTATAACACAACAAAAACATATGACATTGAAGGATAAATCTAACAGAAAACATGCAAGAAATTATTGAGAAAATGATAGTTTATTAGTAGATATTAAAGAAGCCTAAATAAATATGTTTGTGGATGAAAAAATAATAAATGTTAGCTATTAATAACATTGTTATAATGTGTTTGTCCTTGATGTCCTTCACCCTGTTCTTTTCCCTGAATATTTCTTTAAGATTTTCCTTAATCAGAGTTATGTGTGTTGCCCCATTTGTTTCTGTAAATACTTTGTTTTGTTATGTCTACTTTTTTTAAAAATTGAAAAACAATTTTTATTGCAGTTGACATTCAATATTATCATGTATTAGTTTCAAGTGTACAGCACAGCGGGTAGAAAATCATACTTTACAAAGTGTTCCCCTGATATTTTCAGTACCCGCCTGGCACCATGAGTTATTACAAATCGTTGACTCTATTCCCTAGGCCCTACTTTCCATCCCCAGGACTCTTCTGTAACCACCAATCCATACTTCTCAGTCCCTCCACCTCCTTCACCCAGTTCCCCAACCCCCTTCCCTCTGGCAACCATCAGGCTGTTCTCTGTACTTATGAGTCTCTTTCTGTTTTTCGCATTTACTTGTAACTAAAGCTCCTTACTTTCATTTATAAGAAATGCGACATAAATCAGTAGTTACTAAAAATGTTTGCTCCTGTTTTATGATGAACTATTTATATAGAGATATTCGCACAGTCCTTCATTGTACATAATCACATAGCACTGCAGCTGCATTTTGTTCGTCCCATTTGTGGCCACCTCATTTCAGTCATTCGTTCTTTTTGTCTTTCTCTTTTTCTATTATTAGTTTTCTTTATTTAAAAATTTTTAAATTAAGTTCATTGGGGTGACATTGGTTAGTAAAATTGTATTGCTTTCAGGTGTACAATTCTATAACACATCTGTATATTGTATTGTGTTCACCACCCAAAAAGAACGCCAAATACCAAGGCAGAGTTCTGTACTTGCAACTGAAGCTTGTCTCCCCTTCTGTTCACCACGCCAGGGGGCAGTATCGCACCAAAGGTGTTTAGAAAGGTGTTTACTTTCCTAAAGGATCCAGCTGGAAAATACTTGCTCCATTGCACAGGCAGAGATATATAAACACAGTTATAATCACGTATATCAAGATTATAAACTTTTATGTCTAAGAATTAGTAAAATCATTGATCTAAGTGATTTTTTGTGAGTATTAAATCTCACCATGGTCTTTCCACACTCAATAGCTCATTTAGAGACGAGTAGCAAAAACCCTCATCGGTATCCCCCTCCATTTATTTATGTACACACGGTGTTTGGGATTATATAAAAAACCTGTGTGAATGGTCTTTGCCATCTGGCTGGAGTTTGAAAACCGGTCCACTCCGGAAGCTCAGAGCAGCTAAGTTAATTGCAATGCTAAGAGCAGTGGCAGGAACAAAAACCACACCAGATGTGATAAAAAGTTGTAGTTACTTGAATTTTGCATATAAGTGGAAGTTAAAAATTGCTTAAAATGTATGTGTTTGGACTT